TTATTACGACGCTTTCCAAAGGATGACGTTCCCTTCGTCATCTCGCTTGTGCCGCCGAGACCAAAGAGCCCACTACAGTGTTCTGCTTTATCATCATTTATCCAAGGTACACTTTTTTAAAAAAGTGTATTTGGTACAAGGTCTCATTATGCAGCTCAGACTGGTAGTGATCCTCCCGTTTCAGCCTCACCAGCGCTGGGATTACAGGCATGCACCACCACCAGCTGGTCTCCAAGGTCAGCTCAGCTCGCCCTGGGATGGGGCCAGCACAGCATGTGGTGCTGAGGATCAAACCCCGGTCCTTGTGCTTGCCTAAGCAGGCGCTTAGTCTGCTGAGCTATCTTGCCCTCCTCAAGGTATATTTATTTGTACTTTTTTGTTTGTTTTTTGAAACAGGTTCTCACCAAATTGTTAAATTATCCAGACTGATCTTAAATTTGTGGTGCTCCAGCCTTGGTCTCCCAGATTGCTGGGATTATAGGTATGTGCCTATAATTAATTCATTTATTCTTTCTTTCTTTCTTAACAGGGTCTCACCATGTAGTTCAGGCTGTTCTTGAACTTACTACATAGCCTAGGCTGGTCTTGAATTTGTGGCAATCCTCCTCACTCAGCCTCCTAACTGTTGGGACTACACCTAACTGCTGGGACTACAGGCATACCAGCTCAATGCTGCTGCCTCCTCCTCCTCATCATCCTCCTCTTCTCCTCCTCCTCCTTTTTCTCTTCCTCCTCCTCCTCTTCTTCTTCTGGTTTCTTTGAGACAAGGTATTGTTGCATAGTCTAACCTGGTCTTAAGTTGAAAATGTAACCCAGGCTGACTTCAGACTCCCAGAAATCCTCCTTCCTCAACCTCCCAAGTGCCAGGATTATAGGCATGGGCTACCACGCTCAGCCTCAGTGTATTCTTAAACACATACCACATACCAAACTTTACCAAAGGGAAGGAACAAAACAAATTTCTCACCCTTAATGCATTTATAGTAAAAATTATGGTATTGGTCTTGCTAGTAACATGCTGGCTCATGTTTGCATGTCATTTTACTTTCTTTTTTTTTTTTTGGTCTTTTTACTATTGACAAAGAACTTCCCACCAGCCTCTTCATTCTGCCCACAAACCCACAAGGTCAGTCCTCTAATTCCCATTCAGCAAAGAACAGTAAGGCTCCTGAATTGCTCAAGCTCCCAGCTTATAAAGAAGAAATCAAGGGGCCAGGGAGATAGCTCAGTAGAATAAGTGCTTCCCTGGCAAGCACAAGGGCCTGAGTTCAACCCCC